CTTGATGGACTTGCTGCAAGAGCATCAACACTAGCTTTAGTTATTCATTTCCTATTTAACGACAAGTAGTAACTTTTACTATCAGTTTTTATATTACTAGATAGCTTGCTCGGGTGCAATCCAAGGGAGGACCAAAATGGATTCCTGACTCAGTATCACCTGTTTACAGTATCAGACTGGGTCATGATCTACCCCAAACGGGAGCTAAATATTGCCTGGTCAGTCCAGAGAGAGTCTAACAAGTCTTTTAATAGTGGTACAGAGAGAATTCAGAGCTAGTGTGTTCCTCTAAGAGTGAAGGGCAAGGGCAGTGGCAGTGGCAGCAAGTCCAGGGAATGTTGAATATCAAGGGATAAAGATTTTGATAAAGAACAGGAAGAAGGCATATGTCAGATACAGTACATTAAAAACAGGGAAAGCCCTTCAAAAGTATAGAGCATATAGGAGGCTGCTTATAAAGAAAATTAGTAGGGGAAAGAGGGGCTACAAAATATCTTTGGGAGATGGGATCATGGAAAACGCCAAGACTTATTTATAAATACATTAACAGTAAGAGGATTACAAAGGAAAGAGTGGGACTTATTACAGACCAAAGGGGCAACCTGTAAATGGAGCTAGGGGATATGGTAAGGTCTTAAATGCATACTTCTAATCTATATTCAAAGGAGAAAGGCAGTGTGGCTGGGGACTTCAGTTGGGATGGTGAGGTTCTAGAACATGTCAAGTTTAACAAGGAGGTGTTAGATGTTTTAGTGGGCACAAAAATGCATAAATACCCTGATCCTGAGATGTATCCCAGGCTGCTTTAGAAGGCAAGGGAGGACATTGCTGGGACCTTGGGGAATATATTTAATAATTTGCTGGCCAGAAGTGAAGTGCCAGTTGACTGGAGGATAGCTAATGTGGTTCCTTTGTTCAAGGAAGGCAGCAGGGATAGGCCAGGTAATTATAAACCAATTAATCTGATGTCAGTGGTAGGGAAATTATTGGAAAAAAATTCTGAAGGACAGGAGTAATCAATACTTGGAAAGGCAGGGATTGATCGGGGATTGTCAACATGGTTTTGTTACAGGGAGATCCTGTCTGACTAGTTTTTTCAAAAGGTGACTAAATACATTGACCTGAGTAGTGCAGTTGATGTGGTTTGCATGAGCTTCAGTTAAAGCTTTGTCAAGGTCCCACGTGGAAGGCTGGGCCGAAAAGGTAAGAACCCATGGAATCCAAGGCAAGTTAGAACAGTATAGCACAGGAACGGGCCCTTTGGCCCATGATGTTGGTAAAATGGATCCAAAAGTTAGCTTACAAAATACTGTTCAACAAGAAGGGTCATCTCACATTAAGGGAATGGAAATTTTGGACAGTAGTGCCATGAAATTTTATGCAAGTACCTCCTCAGTTGCACAAATCTTGACCGAATACTTCTAGTGCTAATGAACTAAATTGGAAGATGAGGGAGCAGGAATCAGAAGGCTTTTAAGCCTTAGACGGGCAAAAAAAGTACTTAGCTCTGAATAACCCATCATTCAATCAAATCACAGCTAATCGTCAACCTCAACCCATTCTCTGTGTTGTCTACTTATCTCTTAGTGCCAGTAACCTTTAGAAATCTATTGATTAATGGTTAAGCTTCCGCAGTCATCTGGGATACAGAATTTCAAAGATTCACCACCCTTAGTGGCAAAATTCCTCCTCATAAGTCTTAAATGTTCTACGCTTTACTTAGCAATTATTTCTGCTGACTGGTGAGTTTAAAACTCGGGCACACATCACATCTCTACCGTGATGTCTTGTAAGAATTTTGTAGTTTCAACAAGATCACCTCTTATCCATCCAAATTCTAGAGAAAGCAGGCTTAATCTCTTCAATCACTCCTTGTAAAAGAATTGTACCATCCTGGTGACCTCATATTTGCCTTCAGTTTTGCTCATCATACTGTATACTAGCTTTTGGTGACTTATGAACAAGGATACCCAGGTCCCTCCTGACACCAACATTTCCTAATTCCCTCTCCATTTAAGACATATTCTGCTTGGTTTTATTAGCATGTGGATAAATTTGCACTTATTCACATAATTTTATCTGCCCATTCACCTAGTCTGTCCTAGTCCTCTTCTAGCCTCTTTCCATCTTCCTCACAATTTACATTCTCACCTAATTTTGCATCAGTGTTAGAGACCGGGCCAAACCCCCTCAAAATATTCAGAAGATAGTCTAGACCCTAACATTTTCTTTAAAGGTAAATGTAAGGTGTTGTATTCCAGATGCAACTTGACTGATCAAACTACCAGATTTAAAGCAAAACATACTTTATTCATGCACAATAGTTACAATACAACAATAAAAAGGAAGGAATTGGAATAGCTTAACTCTATTGAAAAATTTAACAGAATAATAGATATAGATACAGTAACTATGTACTAATTAACTGTTACAATACAGTAATATCCCATAAACACACCCTTGGAAAAAGGCAAATTCAGAACACAAATTGTCTCACGTATAACTCCAGCAGCCCACGGAGAACTGACAGCTTTTAGCTGTAACCAAGAGGGGAAAAAATAGCTTTAATTTTATCCAGACCCCAAAAGTACCTGCTGAAAGCTTAGCTGGTTCTATGGAACCTGATCACACCCATTCAGGCTGCTTCTATTGTTAAAAAGAAAGACGCAAGATTCCCTAAGTTGTTTACATTCTCACTGACTGCTTGGCACCTGCCCCCAGTCTCTCTTGAAAAGAAACCAGGACAAAAAACAACCCCTCAAAATCCTACAACATCGGCACATCAACACATTTGGAAATATTCCTACTCTCTGCTTTGTCTGTTAACCAACTCTCAATCCCATTCACTCAAATTTTGTTTATTAACCTATGTGGAACCTCATTATCAGCCTCCTAAAAATTCAAATAGACCATACTCACTGGCTCTCCTTTATTTACACTAAAAGTAACAGCAAACACACACCAAACGTCTGTCACGTACAATTTCCCTTTCATCAATCCGTGTTGACTCTGCCCAATTTCACCATTATTTTCGGAGTGTCCAGTTTATTACATCCTTCATAACATATTTTAACGTGTCTTCTACTAACAGTCCTGTGGTTTGCCATTCCCCCTCTTTTTCTGAACAGTGGGAATATACTTTCTACTTTTCAGATTACAGAAACCTGTCTAGAACCCATATTTGAAAGATAAAATCACCAATGAATGCAGCATTTCTATAGCCACCACCTTCACTCAGATGTAGCTAATCTGGTCCAGAGAATTCATCAAACTACGAATCAAGTTAACTTTTTAAGTACAATCTCTTTACTAATACTAATTTATTTCAGTTCCACGAGTCTCTTGGTTGCTAGTATTTCTGAGAAGTTTTCTGTAACTTCTTCGGTGAAGATAAAAACAAAGTAATTGTCCAGTTTGTCATTTCTTTCTTCCCCACTATAAATTGTCCAGTTTCCACCTGTCATGGGTGCATGTTTGTCTTACCTAGTCGCTTATTTTTTTACATATCTAAAGCAGCTTTTACACACTGCCTTTTGATTGCATTCGTATTCTCTTTTCAAGTTCTTGATCAGTCTTTACTGGATTTTAACTTGCTCAAAAACATCAGGTAACTACTTTTTCTGCATTCTAAGCCACTATTTTTGATTTAATGCGGTGTTTAACTTCTGTTATCCATTGTTGATTCACCTTTCCTCACTGAGTGTTTCAGCCATACAGGAATGCACATCTGTTGTTGATCTCACAATACTTTTTTTTAAAAACATGTAATACACCTTTTATTGTCTGTCTACTTTCAAAACCTTTTAAAATAAACTTTCCCAATTCATCATAGCTTACTTGACCCTCATACCTTCATAATTTCTTTCGTTCCAATTCAAGATCAAAGTTTCTGAATGAATTAACAGGAAACTTTATCCCATTATGGTCACAGTTTCCCAAAGCCTCCTTTACAGTAAAGTTAATAATTAGTCTTTTCTCGTTTCATATTATAACACTAAATCTAAAATAGTCAATCCCTAGTCGATTCTTCAATTCCAAAAATTCATACTCCACAATTAGGTTTACCCAGTGCACCTGTAAATCGATGTCACCTATTATTTCTGTACCTGCAAAATACACCTCTAATTGCTTGATTTATAATCAGCTCAACATCACCATTACTGCTTGATGGCCTATAAACAACTCCCATTAACGTTTATTGCCCTTTTCTGCTCCTTAGCTCTACCAAAATGATGCAACATCTTGATCCCTTCATCAAAGATCCTCTCTCACTAATGTACTGATCTTGTTCCTCACTAAGAGCACTACCTTACTTCTTTTTCCATATGCATTTATTTCCTAAATGTTAAATATCCTTGAATTTTCTGTGGCCAAATCACTGCATAGGCAAGGAAATCAGACCCTTTGTCTTAAATTGAGAGGGAAAAAATGAACTACATTTATATAACCGTCGTGACCCAAAGATATTCTAAAATAATTTTCAGCCAATCAAGTGCTACTTTTTAAACTGTAGTCAATTATAATATAGAAAATACAGTAGCCATTTGCATACAGCAAGATCTGACAAATAGTAATAATCTAATAACAAGAACATCCATTTTGTAATGTCAGTTTTGGGAAAAATATTGAATTGGGTATCCAGGGAGAATTCTTTGCACATTCAAAAAACATACCATTGGCTCTTTTAACTCAAGTTGAACAGGGTGATCAGCCACTGTTCAAGGACTCATTCAAAAGACAATACCTCCAACAGTGTAGCACTTTCTCAGCCCTGTGTACAAGCACTCTTTCAGGAGTGCGACTCAAGGTTGTGGAAGCTGTAATAAAAATACAAGTCTCTTCTTGATGTTGTCAATGACACACCAGATTGATTGTTTTATAATCTTTTGCAACCATTAGACACTAAAAGACAGCAATTTTTATTTTTATGTTTTGTAATACTTCCAACAATAAAATGGTCTACATTCAATTTTCTGAATTTAGGAAGTCAGATACTATACCTCAATAACGAGCGTCTTGCAGTAACTACTGCATGGGAATCATGCACGATTCGGCCTTCAGAATACAAAGGATCATTGCAGTTCATCTCTCCTGTTCCAATTGCAACAACTTCATAAGGCTGTCCATCTAAATATTAAGAAGTTACTGTTACTCTCAGCAAAATATTACAAGAATGTATAGCACGCAAAAAATGCAATTGGGCCGAACAGATATATGGCAATGTTGATGCTTCATACAGGTCATCCCATATACCTCATCATCAAACCCCGCTAATATAATGTATTCATTTCTCCTTAATATCTTCATCTTGCTTCCTGTTAAATGCATCTATGCTATTTACCTCATCTACTCATTCTGACAGCAAGGTCCATAGTCTAACCATTCTCCAGGCAGATGTTTCTTCCAAATTGCCTACTACTATTTTTAGTAACGATGTTGTATTTACAACTCCTGGTTTTGGTTTCATCCACAAGTGGAAATATCTCTATTTTCTCAAGCAAAACTTTAATAATCTTAAGATCACCACAGATCACCCCTCACCCTTTAAACTTCTAGAGGTAAGTATCCTAATCTGCTCAATCCTTCTTGACAGCTACAATCTCAGTTCTAGCATCATACTTGAAAGCAGGTTTTATACCTTCTTCAGTGTCTTTATGTCCTTTTAATCATATAAAGGCCAGAATGCTTCATTGTAGTCTAAGTATGTGCAAACTAAGGTTCTATAAGGTAACATATCTTCTCTGCTTTTCAATTATCAATCTCCGGAAATGAACTCCAATTATCTATATGGCTTTGTAAACAGAAATCCATACTTTTAGTGATTTATGAATCTTTTGACAATCTTTGACCTGGAAGCAGTACAGCAAGGAAAACTTGCAATTTCTTTATAAGATTTGTAAATCTAATTGGTTTCCAGAATGTTTCCAAGTGAATCTAAGAGGTTGTATTAACTGTAAAGAGCTCAGTTGTAAAAGCTTTTCATTGTGGAGTGAGTTTATTGACTTGCTCGGTCCTACAGTTCTCATCCTACAACCTCCAGTCTTCCAGCTGTCCAATATTTATATATACATAAAGGCAATCAATTCCCACCAGCTGTATACTCTTAACCTTAATTGTAATAAACCTCAACAATATGACTTATAAGACATTAACACATGACCTAGTGATCCTGATCTGGAAGCAGTATCAACAGGAAGGAAATTAAGAAAATACCACATGCCTGACAGATACAAAGTGTAAACAAACATATGGAAAGAGGATCTTGTTAAACTCCTGAATATAAGTAGTAAACCTCTTTGAGGCAGAGGTCAGTGTTGTCAGAAAAGACGACAGGAGCTCTAGGAATATGCGTGATTTGAATGAAGAGGTCTAAAAGATGAGTAACTGTGTGAATAGTTCAAAATCACTAAAAAGAGTCAGATGTTTTTCCAGAAGTAGCCAAGCTGTGAACCAGTGTTATTTGTTGACAATTTGAAAAGCTACACCATCAGGACTATCTTCTTCCTGTGATACTCAGATGCATGTCCTTGTTGGATAAGATTCATGACTTACCCTGCATGAGTAAACAAAAAAAGCATGTGGTGAAACCGTTAACCACATAATGCCATATGTACTGAAGGTCAATGCTTGCTGTTAAACGTATGCACCCAAGGAACAGTCAATCTCACTTAAAAGTTAACCCAAGTTTTGGCTAAAAAAAAATCTAATTTTGTGGTACTTACCATCTACTCACTGTTGAAGTTTAAACTGCCCTGCTGCAAACCCATTCATTGACAGATTCTTGACACAACACATAACTGAAGACCTGCTGCCTACATTAAGAACTGCTTCATTACCACAATCGCAAGATTTAAATTTCTCATCTCTCATTTGCATTTCTGATTGCCACATGCACCTATCTCTCTTTCTAATCATCCTGTATCCCCAAGCATGATCTGCAAACTCTCCCCTCCGCTGACTCAAGTTATTTAGGTACTTCTCCACTACCTTAATTCACCACAAGCGATCAAGGCCTTCAACTGTTTGGTTTTCAGTATCCCACCCCCTGCCAAAAACCCACCCCAACCAACTTCTCCTAACTCCTAAAAGCTCTGACCATGTTTATTTACTCTTGTTAGCAGGGTGTTTTTTTGTTCAGTACTTTTGTTTCTGTATTATTTGTCTTATGCCTTAGGCCACTCTTTTTGCATTAAAAGCAGTGAATAAATGCAATTTGTTACTGTAATCTCCTTGACAGTTATTTAATCCAATACCGTGGCTTGTAACTCTTCAGCTAAAAACTAATTTACAACATTTGAATAGCACCTACATTCATAGTTCAACATCAAAACTACCAATCATAATACATTTACTTCTAAAAGGCTTCAGCTTCTCCCTGCACTTGTCTGCCATTGACTCTACATTCAGAAGAGCTCCGAGAACAATAATCACCATTCTATTCATGTATCAAAATGCCCAACCCACAAATCTCTATTTAGTAACTGATTATAACATCCCTTTTCTTTAAGATGCCTCTTAACCTGGTTTCATTAAACTATCACATTGGGAGTGTTGCACAGGAGAAACAATGCCTAAAAATTCTGTTTGTTACTTTTACTGTACTCTTCTATTCTTTCTGGTCATCTTACTAACTGTAATCCACTGTTAAAATACATATAAGCGTGTGCTGAGGCTACTTAAGCAACACATACTTTAAGCGATACATACTTTAAGCAAGATGCAACTCAAAGCTTAAAGTTTGTAATTGTTTAGAATTGGGATGACACAATAGGATTATTATTTGCTTAATACTATTACCTTAAGAAATTAATCTCATCACATTTTGGCCTAGAAATTATATCAAGCAGCACAAAACAGCCTCCCAAGTCTTAACGATGGCAGACAGCAAGAACATGCCCATTAAAAGCTGAAAACTAGCTTATCTGCCATAAAACGTAAGCAACCCTGATGGCACAAGTGCCCAAAAGGTTATGCTGAAGGTTGAAACCATAAATTTAACTTAATAGTCCTGTACCTCTTCCAGGATCCATTTTCCAGGTTGGCATATCAAATGTATATCTCATCACATGCATAACGCAACAAGTGATGATAACCAGCTGAAGGACCACTTATTAACATTATTTAAAGGCATCACGCATCTGTGTTCCTCTAATTCTGGCCTCCAGAGCATCCTAAATTTTAACTGTTTCCCACTGATACAGTGTCTTCATTTGTCGAAGATTAGGAATTCTTGCCTAAACGTTTCTGCCTTGCTCGTGTCCTTTAGGTTTGAGCTTTGAAACTTGCTGAGAGAGTCAAAGCCAGCATGTGCGCATTTCTGGGAACTTGGAGGCAATGGGAATTGAACTGGTCTTTCTTTTTTAAAGAACAAAAAGTTCAGTACCCTTGTTACAAGGTTAATAATGTAGCTGACTTAGATGACATTAATTATCAATCATCTGAAACCTGAATAGGGCCTCAATAGGTGTTAAAAGAAAGAGAACCAGACTGAGAATGTGCTCATCAGGGATTTTGGAGCATAGTGGAAATTTGGTGCATAGGAGAACAGTTTTTCTTTTGCTTCTTGTGGTTTAGTTTGTAAATTCTTTTTTACAGTTGATAGTCTGTGAGGATTATATTGTATAGTAACAAGGACCAGGGAATGACGGCCCTAGACTAACTGATAAGTTTGATCTTAAAACTTCTTCCAAAAGTTTCAATTTAAAGGGGTAAATCATTGTAGGAGAGCTCAAAGCCATGGTGAGCTCTTTCTGTTCTCTGTGGAAAGCTGGGAAGATTTCCAGTACCCATAGCCAGCGTGTGTGCTGGAGGTGTCTGCAGCTACAGCTCCTGACAACCCAGATTTTGGAGCTGGAGTACTGTGGAGCATCAGCATGGTGCAGAGTATCACGAATAGCACGGATAAAGAGGTGATTATACTGCAGGTTAAGACTCCACAAGCAACGGAACAGGTGACCACCAGGCATAACAAGAGCAACAGACCAGTAGTGCAGGATTCTCCTGCAAACCAGATACACCATTGAGGGGAATGGTCTTCCAGGGAAAGCAGCAGCAGCCAAGTTTGTTGCTTCACTTTAGATCTGCTGCACAGGAGAAGAGGAGAAAGTTTGGGAATGTAATAGTTATGGGGTATTCAACTGAAAAAAAGAATACACAGGTGTTTCTGCGGCCGTAAATGAGACTCCAGGAAGTTGTGTTGTCTCCCTGGCCCGAGGTTCAAGGATGTCTTACAGCAGCTACAGGACATTATGGTCATGGTGCACATTGGTACAAATGACATCAGGTTTAAAATAAAGGAGGCGGTCCTAAAAGCAGAATATAGGGAGTTAGCAAGTAAGTTGAGAAATAAGGCTTCAAAAAAGGTAATGATCACAGGATTACTATCAGCACCATGTCCTTGTCAGAGTAGAAATAGCAAGATATAACAGATGACTATGTGGCTGAACAGACAGTACAAGCGGGGAGGATTTCCGATTTCTGGGCATGGAGGGATGGGGGTGGAACTGGTTCAGGCTGAATAGGGCAGGGCATACATCCTAAGGCAAGTGTGTTTGCTACAATGTTTGGATGGGTTTTAAACTAAAATGGCAGGAGGATGGGAACCTATGCACAAAGTCATAGGAAGACAAGGAGGAATGAGAAAAGTGACAGACAGAGAAATTAAGGAATAAGATCAAATGGGGCCTAGTGAAAAATAATGGGAACAGGACAAGAAACATTAAAAAGACAAGCCTTAAGGCTTTTTGTCTTACTGTGTTGAGCATTTGCAATAAAGTGGACAAATCAGTTGCACAATAGATGAAAACAGGCAAGATATAGTTGGGATCATAGAGACATGGCTGCAGGGTGACCAGGGATTGGAAATGAACATCAAGAGTATTCAGCATTGAGATGGAGACACAAAAAGGAAAAGGCGGTAGAGTTGTATTGCTAGTTAACCAAGAAATTAATGCAACAGTCAGGAAGGAAATTAGCTTTGATAACGTGGAATCTGTATAGGTAGAAGTGAGAAACACAAGAGGCAAAAAACATCTGTACAGATTATATATACACCCCAAAACTAAGAACAATCTAGTTGGGAGGCCCTTTGGGGATGAATGACCATAATATGATGGAATTCTTCATTA